TACAAACCTTAACCCTAACTGAAGTCCTAGTACTCTTTTATGGAGGCAATGGGTGGGTTTTTCAATTGGCATTAAACCCTACTTGTTTCACTCTAGGGATTCTGGTATTTTCTAGCAGAAAACAATCGCTGCTGTCCTTAGGTTGTTTATCACAACAGCAATGATAAAATGTTCTTGTTTCACACCTGCTCACATGTCCAGAATGAATTTCTAGGAGGAGGCAATAATTCAAAGTGCTGGAGTGCATGCTCTGCATGTGGGAGCTCTGAGACTGATTGGAGGCAGCAAGTGGTCCCCCCAAACCAGAGGGAGAGACCTGGAAGAGTCAAGCAGGAACAGCCCATGAGCACCACTGGGTGTGGCCCTCACTGCAAATCCCAAAAGCAGCTATAAAAGAGAAAGAAACCGATTGCTGGGGCTTGAGTGATAGTACAGTGGATAGAGTGCTTCTTACCCACAGATAACCTGGATTTTGATCCCCAGTACCACATATGGTTCCCCAGGGTCTGCCAGGAGTGATGCCTGAGCTCAGAGGCCAAGTAAACCCTGAGCACTGCTGGGTGTGGCTCCAAAACAAAACAAACAAAAAAAGAAACTGATTTCCTCATGCAATTTGCTGCAACCTGGTTGGAACTGGAAGACACCATGTTGAATGAAATAAGCCAAAAGAAGAAAGACAAACATAGGATGATCTCACTTATCTTTGGAATATAGAACACTAGATAAGGAAATGTGCTGTAGCAAAAGGGGGGTGTTTAGATCATCCTCGACCCCAGAGTTTAGAGAGGAGACAGAGAAGGGGAAAATCAAGGAGAGAAGAAGTGAAGAAGTAATTCGTTAGCAGACACCAAGTCTTCAGTTATACCAGTGATATGAGTGAGGGGTATAGATATATACCTCAGACATAGATTCAGCAGAACTGAAAACATGAGATCTAGCAGCAACCACAGAAACTGTAATGTGAGCGTTGGGATGGGGAGGGAATCTGGAAACACTGGTGGAGGGAAGTGGACACTGGTGGAGGGATTGGTGTTGAATTATTGTATGCCTAAAACGCAACTATCAGTAACTTTGTAAATCATGGCTCTTGTTAATAAAAAGTTTTTTATAAAAGAAACTGATTTCCTTGTTTCCAGTTTCCCTCAAAATATTAATTTCCTCTAGTTTCATTTTCTAAAGAGAGGAAAATCATTTTGCAACTTACCCACTTTACCCTTGGAAAGAGTTCAAAGTACTTAGTGTGAAACTAAATAATTTTAAATTAATTAAAAGGATATTTGGACCGCTTCATCTCTGTGTGACATTATTTGTGTCCAAGAAGCTAGCTCAGAATTCTGAGACTTCCCTTGAAAACCATTTTTTGACAAAAGCGGCGCCTCTGGGTTTACCGTGGATTTCCATAAAATGTCTTAGATTTTCTTTATTAAAGTGGTTTTCCTTAGAAGAACTCTTAAATGTGGAAAGAACATATCTAAGGGCAGAATTATCGGTGTGGAAACAAAAGAGGATCAAAACTGCACTTGTAAACATTATTGTTGAAATAAAAATAAACTTCATAAGAGCTCCTTTCCACTTAGTGAACTCTCCCTTTGGGGCTGGGTGCTGCTGACCACTAGAAGGTGTTCCTCAGCCAGTTATCAGTCTCACACTGAGGAGGTTCTGCCACCTCGTGGCCAAATTGCAAAGTGCAACTGGCTTTTAAAAAATGGAATCAAAGCCTTATGAAAACCATGGAATCCACTACGCTTAGAAGAAATTCTAACAAAGGCAGGCTTTTCAACATTTTTTCCATAGCTTTTACTGCTGCCCTTTTTTTTATCATGGAAGTCTTTCCTCATGTGCAAGTCAAACAAACGCCCATTTACGTTTTCTCTCTCTGTTCTTACTATCAAAGTACAAAGATCATTGTCCTGTTTTTCCACATATGCACTGACAATCATGTGCATGCCACTGACTGCAAGAGCTTGCTGAAGTATCTTCTACTTTCTGGCTCTTGAGATTTCTATCGTTGAATATTTCCTTGTTAACAAAACCTCTAGCCTTCAGAAACTCTTAAAATGAAGACAGCTACCTGTTGTTGATATATTTGCTCATGAATACTGTTCTTCCACTGTCTGTCTGTAATTGTATTGAACGTAAGTGATTTCTCTTTTATTTCATACCCAGTTATTTCCTGGGGACCCAGTCTCTTTTAAGTGATTACTATACAGAAAGGACATCTAGCAGGCCAAAGAGATAGCACAGGGGTTAAGACACTTAGTTGCATTGCACACAGACAACCTTGGTTCAATTCCCAGAATTCACATGGGCTCCCAAGCATAGAGCTGGGGGTCCCTACCACCACTGGGTATAACCCCAAACCCATCCTCAAAATATAAAGCCTCTCCTCAAAAGTTTTAGGTATCAGATTTACATGTTGTATATCTTGGCAGAGATGTGGGTTATATTATTTCATGTATTTGTGAAAACTCCTTAAACTGTACTTTTATTTATTTATATTGGGTTTTTGGACAATACCCAGAAGTGTTCAGGGCTTACTTCTGCCTCTGCACCCAGGTGGATCATATGGGATGCCAGGATTTGAACCTGGGTCGGCCACAGTCAAGGAAGCACCTGCTATGCTATATCTCTAACCCCATTCAACTGTACTCTTTAGAGAAAAAAAAATCCTATCCTCAAAAGTTGACTCTTAGATTGGTTTTATTAGTGTACTCACTATACTCGCAGGCAAAGAATATATAGTCCTCACTTAGTACATAGCACTGGTGCCAGAGAAAGACAAATTTGATTCTATGTTTGTGATGTAGCTACAATAGATATATTCATAAAGAGAGAAAGCAGAACAGTGGTTAACTGCTAAAGGTGGAGATGGAATGAGGAGCTACTGTTTAATTAGGAAAGAGTTTCTATTTAGGATAAATATGTTCAGGAAATAGACTGTGGTGATAGCTACAATACTCCAAAATGGTTAAAATAGTAATTGTTTTATAAATATTTTATGACAATATAAAACAATGTTTGATGATGTGAAAGGCAAATGATATCTAGGGAAAAAATACATTAGTCGTAACCTATTGTATATTACCAGAGTCTGAAACTAAAGGAAAACAGGGCCAGGAATACGGCTCAGTAGTAATATGGTTATCTTTCACACCTATGACCTGGGTTTGATCCCTGGCACCACAGGAAAAGAAAAAAAAAGGAAACATTCTCTAAGAACAAAAATAGCACTGTAGCACTGTCCTCCCATTGTTCATCTATTTGCTAGAGCGGGCACCAGTAACGTCTCCATCGTGAGACTTGTTGTTACTGTTTTTGGCATATTGAATATGCCACGGGGAGCTTACCAGGCTCTGCCATGAGGGCGGGATACTCTCGGTAGCTTGCTGGGTTCTCCGAGAGGGATGGAGGAATAGAACCTGGGTCAGCCGTGTGCAAGGCAAAAGCCCTACCCGCTGTGCTATCGCTCCAAAGAACAAAAATAACCAGGACAATAAGACTTAATAACAAAAATATAAGAATGTTATAGCAAAGGAAAATGATGGAAAAAGAACCATAATTGCTTTTGTTGTTGTTGTCTTTGGGACACAACCAGCTGTGTACCAGCTGATCACTCCTGGTGGGCTTCGGGGACCAGATGGGGTGCTGCAGATCAAATGTGGGTGGGCTGCATGCAAGGCAAGTGCCATACCAATATATTATCTTTACGCCACTCCCCCCAATTCCTCTTAATTTGAGGAATTATTTCCTATATTTCTGTAGTAGGATAAATGATAGACTCTAAAAAATAAGCATGCATGCAAATTCTTAGAATCTGTGCTTACTACCTTAGATAGCAAAAGGGGTGATTAACTTAAGAATCCTGAGTGGAGAGGCTTACATTCACTCTGGGTGGTCCCCAATCATCATCACAATTATCCCTGTGATAGAGAGGAAAGGAGAGATTACAGATACATAGAGGAAATGGCCATGGCAACATAGAGTAGATAGAGATGTGATATTAAGTCAGGAAATGCTAACAGTCAGTAGAAGCTGGAAGAATCTAGGAAAAGAGCAGCCTGAAGTGTGGCCTTGTCAACACCTAGATTTTGGAGTCTGGCCTTCAGAATTAAGTAAAAGATTGTGCATTTTAAAGCTTTCAGTCTGTAGGCATTTACTATTGGAGCCATAAGACACTAATACAACTAATCCTATGACTTTAATGGCATGCATTTTATATCCTCTATGGAGTTACTAATTATCAACAACTGTACTTACAAATGAACATCAGGTGGTAAACTACCTAAGAAAATCAGAATCAGAAGTCATATTATTTAAGTATCATAATACTTATAAGCACTATCCTCCTGTTGTTCATCGATTTGCTCAAGCGGTTCCAGTAATGTCTCCATTGTGAGACTTGTTGTTACTGTGTTTGGCATGTCGAATACATCACGGGTAGCTTGCCAGCCTTTGCCGTGCGGGCGAGATACTCTTGGTAGCTTGCTGGGCTCTCTGAGAGGGATGGAGGAATCGAACTCGGGTCGGCAGGGCCGGCCTCCTGCAAGGCAAATGCCCTACTGCTGTGCTATAGCCCCTGGAGTGGCAGCACAGTGGTAGGGCATTTGCCTGGCGCATGGTCAGCCCTGCCCAGCTGCGTTCAATTCTTCTGCCCCTCCTGGAGAGCCCGGCACGCTACCGAGAGTATCTCGCCCTCACAGCAAAGCCTGGCAAGCTACCCGTGATGTATTGGATATGCCAAACACAGTAACAACAAGTCTCACAATGGAGACGTTACTGGGCCCACTCGAGCAAATCGATGAACAACGGAGGACACTGCTACAGTGCTACAATACGTGTAAGACACATTCAGGTATGGAGTTTTTACACAGATGATCAAAGATGCCAAAAAGTCCAGTCAAAACTCATTTGTGCCTTAAAGATTTTCTTAAGAGAGAATCAAGAAATGGAGTTCAAGAAACAATACAAGGAGTTCAGGTTTAAACATTTATTTCTGCTTCATTCCATGACAGCAGATGAGCAACCACAATGATTGCTTACTCCTTATTCCAAGAACAGGAAACGGAGTAGAAAGAACAATGCTTGTGGTAAGTAATATTGTAGATGCAGGTGAAGGGGGGGATGTTCCTCCACTTGCATATGTACACGGTGAAAAAGATCTTGACATCGTCTTTCCACCTGAGGAGTCAGAACCCTGTAATATAATGAGTTAAAGTTTATCTGCATGACTTCACTTACACGTGGTACATAGAGAAAACATGAGTTAAATAAAGCAAGAAGAAACTTTGGGGCTATACGACTAATGGTTGCTAGAAGGGGAAGAAGTGGGGGGCGGAATAGTGACAAAGGGGACACATGTTGATTTTCAATAATGTACACACCCGAAACATTGAAACATACATTGCTGTAATGCAATCTTACTTTTAAAAAAGATACCAGGGCCAAGGAGATAATACAGAAGATGAATTAAAGCCTTTGCCTTTCAAATGGCTAACTCTGATTTGATCTCTGAGTATTGCTGAGAGTGACCCCTGAGCACAGAGTTGGGAGTAACTCTGGAGCAACAGGTATGAGCTAATTCCCCCAGCCCCCCAAAACTGGCGTTAAAATGCTTGTAATAAAATATGGAGCAAATAATTCTTAACAATAGATATTTGTGTTTCTTAAATATTATAAATAGCTTATAGATCAGCATTTAAGAACTACGCATGGGGGCTGGTGCTTGAGGACCACTCCTGGCTTAGTGTTCAAGGACTGAACAGGGACCAAACCCATGAATGCAAAGCATGTTCTTAATCTGTTAAGCTATATCTCCAACCAATGATAGGCAAAAATACTCTAATAAATATATCAGTTAACCAACTAATGCTAGGAGAATAGGCACCCTCATCAAAATCTTTAAGAAATAGTAATTCCAAAATGTTGAAAAATTACTTTTTATGATGAACATTATTCTATATGACCTAGGAGCAGTTTGGACAACACCTGGCAGTGCTCAGAGATAATTCCTCACACTGTGCTCAGGAGTGAGCCCTAACAGTACTTAGGGGATCAATGCAGTGCTGGGGAATGAAATGGGCAACCATCAAAATAAGAATTTTCTTTTTGGAGAGGTGAAATACTGAACCCAATTATTCACATTATACTGATAATTTTCTCTCAAATACCATTTTGTTTGAGTTATATACTTGAGAGTTATAAAACATTCAGGGCAGTTCAATACCTTTAAGTCTTTTCCACACATGAAGATGGTTTATTGTCATGAAAAATAATATATGTGGAGTTCTTTTTTCGGGAGGTGTGTGTTGAGGCCATACCTGGCAGTGCTCAAGGCGTACTCCCAGCTCTGTGCTCAAAGATCACTCCTAGTGGTGCTCAGGGGACCCTATTTGGTGCTGGGAATCGAGCCAGTGTTTACATCAGACAAGGTAAATGCCTAAACACCTTAACCTCTCTCCAGTTCTTCTAGAGTTCTATCATCTTAATTTTAGATTTTTTATGTGCACAGTATCAAATCCAGAACCTCATACATGCGAGGTTACTGCTCTACAGCTGAGCTACCTCTCTGGTCCCTTCAGAGTTCTTTAAATTAAAATGTTACTTTGCCAGAGATTCTGCTTCTGGTGACATTTTCTTTCCATCCTACCAAATACAAAGGACTCACTGTTAAGTGACAGCTTCATTACCTGGGTTGAGCGGTAGAGCATTTTCTTTGCATTTTCTTCGACCTTCTCTTGTTTTTCCTGCGTTTTGCCCTTTTAGTTCCAGATCTTGACGCCTTCATTTTCCTGTAATGGTGGCGAGGGAAGAGGGAACAGAGTGATAGTACAGTGGTTAGGGCACTTGCACTTGCCTTGTAAACAACTGACCCAGGTTTGATCTGTGGCACCACATATGGTGCCCTGAGCATTGCCAGGAATGAGCCCTGGCCACAACCAGGAGTATCCCCTTGCACAGTGATGAGTGGGCTCCCCCCCAAAAACACACCCAAGCATATTCCTTCAATGATTACTACCATAAATATACACTTTGTAATAGTTTCACAAAATCCTCAAATATGAATTAGAGCATGAACTCTCAGACCCTAGTCATGATTATTTTCAGGACAAGTAAATATGTAGGGGTGCTAGTGATGCTGGGGGTCAGGAAGAAATATGTTCCCAGCAGAAGGTAAACCCATTTTTACTTTAAAAAAAAAAAGAATAGTTGGACTCGAGATGGAAAGAGTTCTCAATGTGCAGAGTACCTGCATTGCATACATGGATTCTGGGATTGAAACATAACACTGTATGGCCCCCTGAGCACCTCTAGGAGCAATTCCCGAGCATTACTGGGTATGGTCTTGAAACCAAAAAATATGGAAGAAGAACCATGCATTTCTCAATTTATCATGAATACTTCTACTATTTTCTTTTTTGTCTCTCTTTTTCTAAGGTGGGAGTGGAGGCACATCCAGCGGTGTACATGGCTTACTACTGGTTCTGTGCTCAGTGACTACTTTTGTCCAGTTTGGGCAAGTGTCTTACCCACTATTCCATTTCTATGGCCCCATTCTACTATTTTTCTACTGAAATACAGCTATTACAAACTGAGATCATTTTGATACCCTGGTGGTACATCCATAGTGAATTAAGATATTAAAAGAAATAATTGGATGGAGAGATAGCTCAATAGGCTAGAGCACATGCTTCCAATTACATGGTCCCTAAACATCACTGGAGTGACAGTGACCCCCACACAGAACTGGGAATAGTACCAAGCACTGTTGGGTGTGACCCCCCCCCCACCAATTAATAAAGGTATTATCAAGTCAAGGAGAGAAAGATGAAACTCAAATTCATATTGTTTATGTAAAAGAAATGAATCTGAAAAGTCAGCTCTGTGGGTCCCCAAGCATGCCCTGAGGCTGCACTCTCTCCTGCCACCTGGGCGAGAACAGGAAGCCCAGGCTCCAAAAGGTCAGAAGGTAGAGCCATTTCTCAGAGGTGGCCTCTAATGTTGCTGTTGCTGCAAGATAATCTCCCTCCATTAATAGAGCTCCCCAGAGAGTAGTAGTAGTGTGTATATGTGTGTGAGAGGAGTCAGGGGAATGCTGAGAGTGACATGGAAAAGACCCCCAATGTAGCACCCCCAGACTACAAAAGGAGCCATGGTAAAGCAGCGCATATCACCATCAGAGAATGGGCAAAGACTGTAATCCTGTGGACTCACTCCATCAGTAATATCCACCTATATAATCTCTCTAAAAAGGACTTCAGAATAGAAATGCTTAGGATATTTAATGAGCTCAAAGAAACAATGGGACAGACAGCCAATAAAATATAAGAGGATCTGAGAGCAGAAATGAGAAAACTATAAACAGAAACAACAGAGCTGTAAAACTTGGTAGGTGAAATGAAAAACCCACTGGAAGGCCTCAGCAGCAGATTAACAGCCTCTGAGGACAACATTAGAGAGCTCCAAGATGAGGCACAGAGAATCACTAGACAACAGCAGAAGATGGAAATAAAGCCTTAAAATAAGTGAACAGCTGGCAAAAGAACTTTAGGATGAATTCAAGAGAAACAATAAAAGAATCATTGGGGTCCCAGAGGGCCAGGAATATAACCTGAGTAAGAAAGCAACTTGTCAAAGGCTTAATTAAGGAGAAGTTCCTTGAGCTAGAGAGCACATGCATCCAGATCCAGGAGACCTAAAGGATACCAGCTACAAGAAATTAAAACAACAACAGAAACTACAAAAAAAAAATCTTAATCAGAATGAAAAAACCCATATATATAGAATAATGGAAGCAGCAATATCAAAGAAGGAAATTATATACCAATGAGCTTCCTTAATATTTACAGCAAATTTAGCAAAAGAAACTATCTAGGTCTGAAGACAATAGTGGTATATAGTTAAAACAAAAACAAAAACAAAACAAAAACAAAAAAAAAACCCTCAATGAAATGGGCATCATGGCATTATGGTCTCACCAACAGAACTTTATTCAGCCAGACTCTAATTCAGATTTAAAGGAACAACATGTAACTCCACAGATAACAGCTAAGAATCTTCATAGACTCAAAACCATCTTTACAAGAACTAATGGGTCTGCTTTGAGACAAGATGAATTCCCCCCAAATTACAAAATCCTATAGCATGATGGCACAATACTCCATGATAATAATAACCCTTAATGTCAACAGGCTAAATGCACCAGCCCAACATTCCACTGCCTGGAACAAAAACATCTGAACAGTCAGAGTAAACAGACTAGCCAAGGTTAGAACACAATTTTTCAAGCAAATAACTGCTCAAAAAGGCCAGGGTGGTCATATTAGTATCAAACGACATAGAAGTCAGGTTCAAAAGGTTGAGGTCACTGTTTCTTTTAAGGTGCAGAAGCTTCTTAGAGAGCCCACGGAATGGGAAAGAATATTTACCCGATACCCATCTGATAAGGGATTAATATGGAGAATACACAAGACACTAGTAGAATTGTACAAGAAAAAAACCTCCAACCCCATCGAAAAAATGGGGAGAAGAAATGAACAGAAGCTTCCTCAAAAAAGGACTACAAATGGCCAAAAGGCACATGAAAAAATGCTCCACATAGCTAATCATCAGGGAGATGCACATCAAAACAACAGTGAGATACTATCTCACACCACAGAGACTGGCACACACTTAAAAGAACAAGAGCAACCAGCGCAAGCACGGAAGTGGGGGAAAAGGAACGCTATTTTACTGTTGGTGGGAATGATGACTGATCCAGCCTTTCTGGAAAACAATATGGACATTCCTTCAAAAACTAGAAATTGAGCTTCCATATGACCCAGCAATACTACTTCTGGGATATATCCCAAGGGTGCAAAAAAGCACAGTAGAAATGACATATGCACCTATATATTCATTGCAGCACTGTACACAATAGCCAGAATCTGGAAACAACCCTAGTGCCCGAGAACAGATGACTGGTTAAAGAAACTGTGGTACATCTATACAATGGAGTACTATGCAGCTGTTAGAAAAGATGAAGTCATGAAATTTGCTTAAAAGTGGATGGACATGGAGAGTATCATGAAAAACTAAGAGAAATGAGTCAGAAAGAGAGGGACAGATATAGAAGGAATGCACTCATTTGTGGAATATTTTAATAACATAATATTAGACTGACACCCAAGGACAGTAGACACAAGGGCCAGGAATATTGTCCCATAGTTGGAAACCTGTTTCATGAGCTGGGGTAGAAGGCAACCGGAATAGAGAAGGGATCACTAGGACAATGATGGTTGGAGGAATCGTTTGGGATGGGAGATGTGTGCAGAAAATAGATAAAAGGACCAAACATGATAACCTCTCAGTATCTGTATTGCAAACCATAATGACCAGAGAGAGAGAGAGAGAGAGAGAGAGAGAGAGAGTATGGGAGAAATTGTCTGCCATGGAGGCAGGAGGAGGGCTGGAAAGGGAGGGGGGGGATACTGGGTACATGGGTGGTGGAGAATGTCCACTGGTGGAGGGATGGGTGTTTGATCATTGCATGATTGAAACTCAAACATGAAAGCTTGTAACTGTATCTCACAGTGATTCAATTAAAAAAAAAGGTTGAGGGTCACTTCCTAATGATAAAAAGATATGTACATTCGAAAGAACTCACTCTCCTAAAACATATAATATGCACCTAATGTTAATGAACTCAGACCTCTTTCTAATGCTTTGCACAAAAATCAAATCAAAATGGACTAAAAACTGGAATCCGTGGTGGTGGGAAATGGGCACTGGTGGAGGGATGGGTATTTGATCATTGTAATTGAAACCCAAGCACAAAAATTTGTAAGTCTACAACTGTACCTCATGGTGTCTCACTAATAAAAAAAAATCTTGATATCAGAACTGAATCCATAAAGTACATAGAGGAAAACATAGGCAGAACTCTCCATGACATTGAAGCTAAAGGTATCTTCAAGGATGAAATACCATTGACCAAGCAAATGGGATTATATTAATTTAAGAATCTTTGAACAAATAATTAAATGAAGACCAGAACACAAAGATATCTCACAGACTTTTGGAGAAATTATTTCCCCAATGCCCATCTGAGAAGGGATTAATATGCATAAGGCACTGGTAGAACTTTACAAGAAAACCATATCCAAAAAATGTGAAAAGTTGAACAGAAATTTCCTCAAAGAAGAAATACAAATGGCCAAATGGCATATGAAAACTGCTCTACATTGCTAACTATCAGGAAGATGCAAATCAAAACAACAATGAGACATCATCTCACACAACAGAAACTGGCACACAGCCAAAAGAACAAGAACAACCAGTGCTGGCATGGATGCAGGGGACTTTTATTCACTGCTGGTAGGAATGTCAACTGGCCCAGCTTTTCTGGAAAAAAAAATACTGATATTCCTAAAGCATCTAGGAATAGAGTTTCCATTTGACCCATGAACTCCACTTCTTCGAATATACCCCAAGGGCTCAAAAAAATGGAGGAAAGTGATTGGCACCACCCCTGTGTTCCTTGTAGCAATACCCACAATAGCCCAAATCTGGAAACAACCCAAGGAGTCCAAGAAAGCTGAGTGGATAAAGAAACTACAGTACATATACACAATGGAATACTACTCGGCCATAAGAGAAGATAAGTAATTAAATTTGCTGCTATGTGAGGGACCTGCAGAGTAAAGTTAATCAGAGGGAGAGAGACTGACACAGAATGATCTATTTTATATGTGGAATATAAAGAAGTATAATGGTGGAATAACAAATACCCAAAGGCAGCAGACACTAAGAA